TGAATGTCCAAGGTTCGTGATGTGATGCCGTTGTTCAAGCCCCGTACTTTCTGTTATGTACGCTATAAAAAAAATTAGTCTATCCCATTATCCGATAAAACAAACTAGGCTAAACCATTGTAGCGACGGGTATTACTGACAAATTACCATTCCTCTGGTCAGGAGTTCAATTATGGACAGTTGGACCTGAATCCTAGGGTTGTCTAGCCTGGCTCTTTAGCCTATGTTCGCATAAGGTATTGTCCAGGTTGTAATGATTTATAATGTTAGAAAAAAAATACTTAGCTAATCTCCCTGAATACATGAAATAGATATACAATCGTACATACAATTTGTAATAAATAAACAAAAAAAGCATGACTGTACTTACAGGCAGACTTCCACTCTTGCTGTTTGGGTGTAATAATGAACAGCGTTCACAATTACTCTCCACTTTCCTTCAGTGTTTACTGCTCTTTTAGGTTGAGCGTACAGCACTTGAGATGGACAGATGTAACCTAAGATTGCAATATATTGGTATAAAAGGAATGCTTTAGTGACCTCGTTCTTCTTTCTTTACCATCTAAATAATTTCTGGCAATAATATCTCCATTTGAAAATGTTCTTTTAATTCTTTCTCTAACGTTTTTTAAATCATCCTACAATAAACGTTATGTGTATTAAAGGAAGATTATCTTACTCGTTATGCACGAAAGTAAAATGATGAAATAATAAATTTAAAATAAAGTTATAATTTTATATTATATATCAATTTCCTCTGATTTAAGTCCGATAGTATAATAGAACTATGTTATTTTATTATTATTGTTATTATTATGCAGCTTCACTGGACTTTTGTTGTTCTTTGATACGTTTAGATGTAAAAGTTTAATTTTTTCGAAGCCCCTGAATAGTTTGCTTATTTGCAGCCCTCCAGAAGCTTTGCAGAGGAAAAAAAAACACTTAGAAGGGAAATGTCTTCTACGAAGATAAAGGATGTAAAAGTACTATCTGTTGTTCTTATGTGTTGATTAATGACATTGTATACTTCTCGTCGGTTTGATTGGATAATTAGCTTCATGAATTTATAAGTTGCCTTTTAATTCTTACTTTTGATCATCAGAAGCTGTTAAATGTGGTTGATAAGAGCAAATAATAACAATAAAAGATTTTAATAATTTAATATAATACATCATAAGCTTAACTGGGAGGTGGATACCGAGCGTTAGTCCCCATCACCCAGAAATGTTAGAGTTTTGATTCATAATTTCACCGGAAAAACTCATTAATGTTTTTTCTTTCTAGCCACGACACCGATGAGAAACATTTTTAATAAACTCTATAAACTATTCTGTATTACGATATATATAACAGGTAACACCAAGGCATTAGTAATCCGAGTAATGACATAATAAATGTTCTAGGAGGAACATGGGGGCTTGTAAAGCAAAGTATAAATACAAGATACACAGTGTTATAAACATGTTCAATCTCACAGTTAAACTTGAGATATGAGTTTGAAAACCTTGAAGAGAAGGTGCTAATGTGATAGGCGTGTATTTGTTACACTTTGAACGCCCAAAATCTGGCGAAGCATCAGAAACGTCACCTCTTATTCAAAAGCCGAAATAAATAATTCACAACAAATGTGAGGCGAAAAATATGTCTGCAGTCTATGTGATTTTTACCGCAAATGTTAGTGTGCATTTCTACTTTTCTAGAGGTCGCCACTGATCATACTTAAACTATAACACCACACCATAACTAGTACTCATAATCCATATAGCTATAAAAGTAATATAATTATTACCTTCTGGCCCTTCCCAGTGAGTTTTGTCGTACGTTCCGGCTCCGGTGTAGTAAGTGTAATCAAAAGCTGACTCCTGATCTTTTGCCACACCATCTACAAGATCATCAGCAGATTGATCCGGAATGTCTGAGTATTTCTTCTGAAACTTGTGCGGATCGGCAGAGATGGCATCCTTGATTTCATAACTAGTTTCCAGAAATAAACGTAACTTGTATGGTAGATTTTGTTACGCTTCCTTTGTATATTTCAGAAATTATAATCGTGAATCTGTTATTCGTTATTTTAAAAAATACGTATTTAAAAAATAATGGAAACGACAACTAGTGAGTAGAGAGAATTTGTGAAGCATTTTGAAGTCTAATTAATTTCATGCTTCTTGATGGCAGATGTGTTGTACGTATGATATATTGTCTTGTTTTGGACGAGTTTAAGTAAACCGATTAATGAAACAATTTTGAGTAGCTCAAAGTTAAAACATAACAAGATATTGTTACCCAGTCGATACTTACTGTGGATAATATGGATCCTCAAGACAAAATGGTAAGCTTGTATTAGCAGCGCAAGGTGGAGGTTGAGTGGGATCACATTTTTCATATCCGTATCCATGTTCTTGATTATCATATCCGTATTGAGCATGATCTGTGGAGTAGACTGGGAGATGGTGGACAGGTAATAAAGATCCCGAATAATAACCTCCTCCTAGTCCTTCAGTTAAGGCTATTATTGAGGTACAGAGTAGAACGAACTGTGGGAAATATATGCTATAATATATTACAGTCCATATAAATAAATATCAATTAAAAACTACCTTACTTAACAGATTTATTTTTCAACATTACTCAACTTATTAAAACAGCGCGAAAGTAACAATAAACCAAACTCTTCTATGTGAAGCAGTGTGCAAAAAAATGACCGTAGCGTAGGATGAAAATTAGTGCTGTTGGACAGTTTAAACACTACTGTGGGTTATTACGTACCTTAAACTGACTTTCCATGTTGAGTCTTGAATTTCAACAATAGTAACAGACGCGAAAGTTGCGCGCCACGTCTATTTATACCTGCGCTCGTGTCACCTGTAATATAGACAGGAGAAGGGTGGTCTCATCACTGGGCGGGGTCCAGGACATCGCATTTGGACCAGAATATACTGACCTACATCCTCGAGCGAGCCAAGAACTCAAAACTAACAGAAAGTGCAAAAGATATCCTTGTTCTGTAGAAAGTGGGAGGGGGGGGGGTACGAGAGAGAAGCTAGGCTATAAAAGATTTCGAGTTGTGTCGACGTCTGTTTTAAGATCGTAACTGAACGTAAGCTTCGGTAGCCAGATTCAGCCATGCGTATTGCAGTAAGTATAGAAAGTTAGATATACATGTTGTTCTTAACTAATATAAACAGAGCACATTTTCTTTATTAAAAATACACAACAACAAAACAAACGGACTCTAATGTAGTATTTTTGTTTTGTTTTTTTCAATTGAAGAAATCAACTCCCATACTATTAGTAATGGGTTTCTAATAATAGGTAGGCAAAGAACGACTCAATCGTTGTTTGCCTATCTGTTATTATATTAGCATAATGTGCTTCCTTACTGAAGCATTGGGTATTTAACTGTTGTTGATTTCTCGTAAGTAAATTGTTAACTAAGTACATAAATGTATTTTCAACAAATGTTCGATTTTCTGGTTTTTCTAGGTAGTTCTAGTTATCTTATACGCCGTAGTTGCCGATCCAATCGGTTATGGGGATGCGGGTGGACACAGTGTCGTTTATGTTCAGAAACACCAACCGGTCCAGCAGTACGTCCATTATGAAGAGAGTCCAGGATACGGGACCCACAAACACTCGTATGGCTATACACCAGCATACGGCACCCATAAACAGTCGTACGGCTATGCACCAGCATACGGAGTCCATCAACAGTTGTACGGCTATTCACCAGCATACGGTGATTACGGTGACTATGGACATACAGGATATCAGCCCGCAACTTATGGCGGATATCAGCCCGCAGCTCACGATGGATATTCGGGTGTCCCATCTTGTGCCTCGGATGAAGCGGCAACGTACTGCCTCGAAGACAAGGACTATCCAGCGTAAGATAATTTGTATTTTTTTAACATCGATTTTATTTCAATTTAACCTTGCATTGAGATTTTGTGTTTTAATCTCTGTTCGCAACTTTAAATTCACAAATTCACAACGTATTCGAAGGCGTGTATTTTGTTTTTGTTGTTTTGTGTGTGTCTTTCCGGCTCTCTAGTTGGCTTGGTTTTAACAAAAAATAACTTTTTTCCTAAATTTTTAGCTACGAAATCAAAGCAGCCATTCATGAGCATCACTACGAGTTCATTCCACTGTACGCAGATGTAGCTGCCCAATCAACAGCCGATTCTGTAGATCGTCTGGAGACCTTGCCAGAAGAAACTTACTTGTGTCCGTCCAACACTGTATATGGGCGCCCTCTACGAGCCAAAAACACCGACGGCAAATGGCGTATCATAGTCAATGTTAAAAAGTATACCCAAACTACTCGAATTGAAACGTGCACGTAAGTTCATGATTTTAAACACAAAAAGCTGCGTATTTAACACTTTGTTCCACAGATCACGCATACACATAATAACTTCAGATCTGCAATTAATTATATATATATATATGTTTTAACCCTTGCATTTGCCTGAACTTCAACAGGATTGTTTTGTATATTTTAATGTTATGCGTCATCAGCTCAACTTAATTATATTAATATTTTAAAATCGCCTTACATCTTTCAAGCACAATTTGAAAATTATTACAAAAATTATAACTGGTGGCTTGAAGTATAATATCCCCACAAAATATGTAAACTTTATTTATTGAAAAAATAAAAAATAATGTTCACAAAATCCATTTCAAATAATATTTTTACTTTTTTTATTTTTTCTTAATATTAAAAAAATGTTTAATGTTTGGGAAAATAATTAAAAATATTATATTGTGCTTCTTTAGGAAACCAAACACCCCCTGTCCAGTTGTTCCTCATTGTTATCAGTCAACCTGTGTCCAGAAGAATATATATCATCGTTTCCTCATTTTCGATCCATATGATCATTACTACCCTTTCAAGATTGAATCCTTCCGTCTGCCAGCCTCCTGCGCATGTCTTGTTGGAGCATACGTAATTGATCACTAAAACTTCGAATGGGCAGTTCAGCAAAGAACGGAAAAAAAAAATAATGTTGTTTTTTTGCAGTACATTTATATGTTAGTTTTTGGGCCTTAGCTGACGTTACTAATGGATAATGTTTGTACATATTTTAAAATGTTTACCCCCTCTCCCAAATGTACAATACGTTTGAATGCTATATTGACCACGCGTATGTATGTTTTTGTTTCACGTCGTATTGTTACCGTTTTCTTTATTGAAGCTGTGTATTGAAACTATTAATAAAATATAATTGTATGAGAAAAGTTTTTTGGTGGTGTGTTTTGCTGAAACTGTTTATTTGAAACAACAAATTAAAGGGATAAAATTTGCTGAAAATAAAACGGTTACTGAGTTTATAATAGTGAAATAACATGTTTGTGCACATTAACCTCACGTTCCTTTTGACTTTATCACGTGAGATATAGTTTAAAGTTTGTAGTAATCAAAATTGTATCTAACTTTTCAGAATTACAAAATTATGGTACTTCTAAAACATATTTGAATTGATTATATTATTCAAGAACCTTATTTTAGTATTGAACATGACATGAAATCCAAGACATTTCTCATTAATGTTCATACACACAGGGTAAAAACTACCCATTTTCTTCGATTAATTACACATAATATTAAATTTTATTACACACATCCATAGAATACACTGACTTTCGGTCAGGGGGAAAAAACCGTCAAAAAACAAGTAATAAATACATTTTGTAAGTGTAAAATGGTGTAGGAGTGGCAGTGCCAAAAACAATGCAAACAATAATATAAGGATGATACAATTATACGTAGGTCATCTTTACTTTCAATATTGAAATTTAAAATGCATACTTGTTTTTAATATTTCTGCAGTTGGAAGTTATATATTCCTGACTTTTGGTATGCAGTTTGTTTTTCATAATATCATGGTCATGTCAGGGTAGGCATCAATGTAGTGTAACTAAAAACCTAGGACTTACGTACAAGGAAAACCAAGTTGAGTCAAAACATGTTTTGATTATTACAAGCTATTACAGACTTTCGCTACAAGGTCGGTCGAGTTGACCGACATCGTAAAAGTTTTGTACTAGTACGTTTTACAGTGGAACATTAAATTTTAATACTGAAAGTCATCTAGTGATGATCTATGCATAGCTGTATCATCCTTATATTCTTGTTTTCATTCTTTTTGGCACTGTTATCCCTACATCATTTTAGCTTTACAAATGTTTTTATTACTTGATTAATGTAAAACTACCCAAGTCCCCCTGTGAGTCACGGTAAGTTTTTAGTTTTGTACAATGTAAAACAACTCAACTCTCCAGTGGGTCAGCGGTGCGTTTATGGATTAGCAACGTCGAAATCGGTGTTCGGTTCCATGCTGTAAACAAAGCTTAGACATCACATTGTTTGAAGTTGCTATGAAATAAACAAAATTCCAACTTTGTAAATAACTAGTTGAGGATTCATTATTGGATTGTTTTGGTCAACTTGTTTCACAGAAACGATACTTCGAGAAAATTTCAAGAGCTTTAAGATTTCGTTCAATACTTTAACTCCCCAATTCAGGTAATAAAAACTGAATACTAGGTATACCGCGAAGTATTGTTTAATAATAACTTGCTACATGTAATAGATTTATCGGAAAAGTAAACACAGAATACTAAGTATACCACGAAGTATTGTTCAATCATAACCTGCCAGGGAAAATAGATTAACTGTGAAAATAAACACTGAATGCTAAATATACCCAGAAGCATTGTTCAATCCGAACTTGTCAGCTTAGCAAAGTTACATAAACTGTTAAAATAAACATTGAAAGCTAACTGTACTCGGAGGAATTGTATAATGTATACTTATCAGGTCAACTAGGATTTATTTTAAAATGAACTCTGAAAGCCAAGCGTATGGCATTTTGACAACTAAGGTATCTATATAAATAGACACTGAAATTAAGAATTTTCGGGGGGTTTGTTCAACACTTGAAACCGCCAAGTAAACAAAGATTAGCTAAGATGAAGCTCCGTATGCTTTCAGTGCTGAGGATTAAGCGACTTTTATGTAGTGCCCCTTTGAATAGAGAATATAAACTTGTGTACAGCTACTTAAATCGCTGTTTCAGTTTTGAATTCAATGGTCACGGTTAAGATACTACAAATAATGTGTCCCCAATTGCTGATGCCCCTCCAAAAACAACAACAAACAAATAAAATGCAAATACATTCCGATGCATATGTTCATAAGACGATGTCCCAGGTCCCTTCTCCAATTGGAATTACTTACCCCCATGGTCAGTCGTGCTTCACCTGATGGCTATGATCACGCACTCTTGCACGATTCTATTGTAAAAAGATTCTTCAAAGGAGAACGATCTCAATCTTGAAAAACTTTCCACAGACTCCCAAAGCATGTAGACTTCGAAATTACGAGACAGTATTTAAGCAGAACAAATGCATCAAATCTGCATCAGGGACGTAATAGATATGTGGTCAAACGGAATTTTTATGATCTACGTTTCTTCAAAAAATCCTTCTCAGGAACGGAGATGATGATTTCGAGATGTGGGTATATATCTTTCGTTTGTGAACCTTCATCAACTTCCAATACTTATTAATTACATTATTAACGGAACCAGAAGATATGTCCAGCAATTACTTTTCTGGGTCAGATAGTTCTCTTTCAGAATTAAATTTTTCATTTTGCAGGTGAAAGAGTTGCTCCAAATTTGATCTGGTTGTGGTTTCAGGGGTCGTTGCTGGCGTAAATTCTCTGCTTCGTTTTTCCGCTTTCACGGAAAATAGTAAAGGCTCACCTTTTCAAAACGCAGTGTCTTTTGGCTCAAACTTGTTTACTAATCTCACCGCACGAATAACCCTCCTCTGAAAATGGGCTGTGCCACAGCCCTCCATTCATGAGTCTACCCATGGCGGCATCGCACTTCGAACGATCGGAAACACTAAACATCCCTCACGTGGAAGCACATTACGCTTCGGAGGCGATGCGCCACTGAATTAGCACAGGCAAGTGGTTTTTATAAAGTGCAATGAAACTTCTGTACATGAACTCATCGAATCAGCTGACATTTCCCTTATAAAGTAAATACTAAAAAATAATTATGTTCTGAGGTTACATTCAATATGAGTTGAATATTCATCAAGCCAACTATAGGCTTATAGTAAAAGTAACTAAACGTATTATGTGGTTTTTATTTAGCTTAGTCTTTGTTTTCTTCTCTTTTGAAATATTATCAGAATGTATATTATACCCTAAAGTTTCGTTGATTATTTAGACAAATCAGCTAAATTCTCAATAAATGCCCCCCAATAGCACAGCGGTATGTCTGCGGATTTACAACGCTAGGTCACCGGGTTTCGATATCCGTGGTGGGCAGAGCACAGATAGCCCATTGTGTAGCTTTGTGCAAAAATTCAAACAAACAAACAAACAAACAATTCTCAATAAAATAGCCACAAATTACTAAGTACACTCTGACGTCGCGCAGAATACAAATAGTTTCCGAAAGGGTAAAATACTCAGACATCAAGTTCCGTGTCTTGTAAAGTAAATTTGGTTTACGATGAATGTTCTTACTGAAATATAATTACTCTTATAAGTTGTGATAAAGTCACACGGGCAAATGTGAATTAATATGATTCTACTATCACCGAAATAAAGGTCTATCCCAGAAAGGTTATTATATTTATTATGCTCGAAAATGTAAACCCAGACTCGTAAAGAAATACATATGACAGTATTGACATGTACAAATGGTAGTATGTGTTTTTTCAGAATTTTCAGGCAAAGCTCAACAAAGGGTTATTTGAGCATAGCCATCCATAATTTTGAACTGATAGTCTATAAAAAAAAAGGTAGCTTGCCAATAGCTCCCACCGCCAAGTCTTGGGCTACTTTAATGGAATAGTGGGATCTGACCGTCTCTCTTTTAACGCATTGACGGCTGGCTCCAAAGTGTGGAGAACGATTTTTTTTTGTAGTAACAGGACGCAAACCCTTTGATCTGTAGGGCTCTGGACTCGCAATCTGAGGGTCGCGGGTTTGAATCCCCATCCCACCAAGCATGCTTGCCCTTTTAGCCGTGAGGGCGTTATAATGTGACGGTCAGTCCCACTATTCGTTGGTAAAAGAGTAGCACAAGAGTTGGCGATGGGTGGTGATGACTAGCTGCCTTCCTTCTAGTCTTTCACTGCTAAATTAGGGACGGCTAGCGCAGATAACCCTCGTGTAGCTTTGCGCGAAATTCAAAACAAACCAAGATACATTTGTTCCCTACTGTACCGTGCAAGCGAAGATTAACAGCATTCAAGACCCTATAGTAAAGTTACTTATTATAACACCAGGGTACTTTCAATTTTCTCTTTTTAAGAATGGACAGACCTAATGGTTAAGGTATCGGGTAGCGAATCAAAGGGTACGAGGCTCGAGATGTGATGTCGCTGAACGCGGACAGCTGTGGACGCGTTAAAGTAACAGTTAATTTTGTTATTAGGTCAAAGGAGCCTAACGAGGATGCTGCTCAATGGGCGTGTTCTCTCTGGTCAGTAGTGTAAAATTAGGGACAGCTATACCTAAATTCTAGAGGTTTCTGACCTGGCCACTTAGCAGTTCTGGTTAAAAAATCCTATTCTCTCTTTTAAAGTAAACTAAATGAGCACGGTTTTCATATCAAAGGAGTAACATGTTTCGTTAAATATATGCAATCATTTTCTAAAAATGATTAATTCCAGGTGTTATTGATAGAATATAATTAATTTCAGGTGCGTTTTCTGAACTTAAAATAAATGTATTATATGACCTGAATGAAACAAGTTGCACGTTTCTTCCTAGCAGAGTCGGCTTGAAGCTAGTTTTATAGCTTATATAGATGATTAGGTGAACACGCCCTCTAGTGCTTTTTCAGAAATGAGCCATGTTGACTGTATAATAATCGGAACGTAAAAGAAGGAACAGGTCCTCGTGATTTAATTTGGAAGAGTAAGTATACTTTTTGCTCGTCAAGAGTGAACTCAATGTT